TTCCACTAACCTTCCAACAATTATCTAGTGAGTGGCCTGTGGTTTTACAATGTGTGCAAAATAATTTTTTTTCCTAGCCACCTTGACCTTAAAGATCTTGTTGGAATCCTTAATTCTAGCTGCCATTGCCCTATTTGGGTTCAAGTCTGTGGAGATTTTCCTCTTTTTCTCTTCTTGCTGCATTAAAGAGCATACTTCATTTAGACTTAGAATTAGTTTTATCATTAAGACTTTAGCCTTAATTTTTTTATAGCTTTCATCTAATCTTATTTAGGGTCAGAACATATCTTTAGGACATCCTCTTCTCCTGTAAAACTTAATTTAGGAGGAATAAAGATTTTCAAAAATAAGAATACTAATAAGATGTATTCTATCTCATTTAATATATACATATATATTTATTTATTTTTACCAAGCACATGATTTATTTCATCTCCCAAAATGCTTTCATCCACGAGGTACATGAGTTGCAATATGGAATCTTGATGGGAATTCAGAACAAGCAAGATATCCGCTCTTCCTAAAGGAAATTTCATGGGGAGTTTAAAAGGCATTAAAATATTAGATAATTATTTGGTCTTTCAAAATATTGCTTATGAATCTACTTGTTTTTAGGATTTTTCTTTCTTCTTGGTCTCTAAAGGGTCTTCCATTTCGTAAGGAATCGATTGAAAATAAATTACCCATTAACCAAAATATCCCTAGTAATGTCTATTGCGAGAGATACTAGTATTAGAGCATCAATAACCTAAGTGTACTCTGTCTCATTTAATAGATACATATATATATATTTATTTATTTTTACCAAGCACATTATTTATTTCATCTCCCAAAATGTTTTCATCCATGAGGTACATGAGTTGCAATGTGGAATCTCGATGGGAATTCGAAACAAGCAAGATATCCATTCTTCCTAAAGGAAATTTCATGGGGAGTCTAAAAGGCATCAAAATATCGAATAATTATTTGGTCTTTCAAAATATTGCTTATGAATCTACTTGTTTTTAGAATTTCTCTTTCTTCTTGGTTTTTAAATGGTCTTCCATTTCGTAAGAAATCAATTGAAGGTAAATTACCCATTAACCAAAATATCCCTAAAAATGTCTATTGCTAGAGATAGTAGTATTAGAGCATCAATAACCTAAGTGTACTCTGTCTCATTTAATATGTACATATATATTTATTTATTTTTACGAAACACATGATTTATTTAATCTCCCAAAATGCTTTCATCCATGAGGTACATGAGTTGCAATGTGGAATCTCGATGGGAATTCGGAACAAGTAAGATATCTGCTCTTCCTAAAGAAAATTTCATGGGGAGTCTAGAAGGTGTCAAAATATTGGATAATTATTTGGTTTTTCAAAATATTACTTATGAATCTACTTGTTTTTAGGATTTCTCTTTCTTCTTGGTCTTTAAAGGGTCTTTCATTTCGTAAGAAATCGATTGAAGGTAAATTACCCATTAACCAAAATATCCCTAGCAATGTCTATTGCTAGAGATAGTAGTATTAGAGCATCAATAATTTAAGTGTTTGTGTAACGGCCCCGGAATTTTAAAATGAAATATGTGTATTAAAAAGGTCAAATGCGGAAGCGTAATAAAAATTTTGATTAACATCCCTTACACTAAAACCAAAAACGTGCTCAAAGTATAAAAGAACAAACTAACTAAAAGAGAAACTTAAAAATAAAAGCTATAAATATAACTACGGAGTCTTCAGGCGTCCCCTTCGTCGTCTTCCTGCGGAACGGGCTCGGGAACAATGTCTTCCTGATCTGAAATGATTAAATAAGGAATGAGCTACACTAGCCCAGTAGAGACATCACACTATTTCACCGTCACGGAGGTAAAAGTGGGTAGAAAACACAAAAAGACCAATGGAGCATAATTTACAACAAATTCTTTTGTCAATAATAAAATCCTTTACTATCCACTTACCTCGGTGAAGTTCATAAAACAACATACGAAAGCAATAACATTATCATCATCATGAAATCATATGAACTGTATACATAATACTTATCACGCATTTTGCATTTCAATCGTTACACAACATATTTTTCCTCATTTACCAGCCTACTAGTATCCATGGGGATCCATAGGGGTCCCGCTACCCGTGAACCCTTAACACTTGTAATCAAATTCCAGGGCCGTCCCCATACCCCGTCCGGTATGGGCGTCAAAACTATAAACCCCAATACCCCGTCCAGTATGAGGGTGAAACGGGCCGTCCCCATACCCCGTCCGGTATGGATGTCAAAACACACAAGGTCTCCATACCCCGTCCGGTATGAGAGACCACAATCCCGGTAGGGTTCCCTACGGAGCCGGTCCGTCCACCATCTCCC